TCAAGTGTGGCAGTGGTAGTGAGGTTGGCCCAGGATTGGACATTGTTTTGTTCTGCTGTGCATGGGGTCACTATGAGTCGGTTCCAACTCGATGGCACCTGACAACAACAATCTTATTTTTCAGTGAAAGTATATAGAAATTACAACTCTGAACTGATAGTGTATCTGTTCTCTCAGTCCAGACAAACACACATCCCATTATAAAGTATTTCTGAAACTTTTAAGCATTTAAATGAACAGATTGTCCACTTCCCAAAGATCAGTGTCTCTCTGAGAAGACCATCAAATACAGACAAGAACATTGAGGGTTCTCAATAACTAAGTATATTTAGATTAAGATTATGGTGACAAATACTTCTGTTACATGTAAACTCTTTCTGGGAAAATTCTTTTTGATCACTTTATTTTCTATTACAACAGTCCTACAATTTATGCAATATTGCTTCCTGTTTATCTTTACATTAGGATTTTCTAACATTACAATTCACAAATTTCTAAGAACAAAAAACATATTGGACTGAAAATTTAAATGACACAATTGTTGCTATCTTCAATTGACGGTGAGGTATTTGAGGTTCAATTTCAGCTGACAGATTCACCAATGATCTAGAAGACCCTTGGTATAACCATTATTTTGATGACTCCCTTAATTTTGGGAAAATAAAAGTTCTAGCATCTATTATCAGCTGTGTATCAGAGGATTATTTTCCCCTGAAATCTTAGCCACTGCATATTCTCCCAAGGTAAAGACATCTGAGAAATAAGACGACTGGGATCTGTTTCATTTTGTAAAAAATATAATATAGGCCTGCACTTTCAACCTGCTGTGATAGACTCAAATGCAATTGTCCAGTCACATATGTAAACAACAGAAATTCGTCCTAGTGAAATATAACATATTATCTTTGCAAAACATTCAGGTTAAGGGACTATGTTGTCTCTAGAGGCAAACAGCAAATTAAATTTACTTTCCAGTATGACATATTGCCTATTGCAAATGTATGAACATAATATTTAAAGATTATATTGATTCTTTATAGTGATTGGGTGACAGTTTGCATAGCAAATTGGTTTTTATTCCATAATGTATACACATTTAGTTTTGTGACACTGATTGCAATCCCTACAATGAACCAGCACTCTTCCCACATCTTCCCTCTTTGTTGCCCTTTGTTCTTCTTTCCTATCCCTTCCTGCCTTCTGAGCTTTATCCTGGGCAAAAGCTGTTCTTTTGATCTGCTACAGTTGATTGTTCTAAGGAGTGCATACCTCCTTCTTGTTATCATTCACCTTATAGGCTTGTCATTGACAGAAAGTTGAGCCACTGGGATGAGTTCATTTTAAGGGTGACTTAAGGCCATAGTCTCAAGGCGGTCTCACCTGTCTTTGTAAACCTAGTCTTTTTTTTTTTTTTTTTAAGCCCTCTCTTTCCTTCCCATCTTGGGTGCCCATCAACAAAATGTTTGTTTGTTTGTTTGTTTGTTAAGTGTGAAAAACTTTTCTTGACTTTCTATAATTGTGGTCTCATACAAGGCTGATCTTTTTTATGATTGTGAACTTTGACATTTTGCTCCCACTTTATCCAGTAACTCCTATTGTGATTCCTTTCAGAGTGGTCAGCAATGGTAGCCAAGCACATCTAGTTCTTTTGCTCTCAGGGCTGTGAAGGCTAGGGTTCACTTGATTCTCTAGTTCTTTGGACGAGTTGTTTCCTCACAGATTTGATTTTCTGCACTCTTCTTTGCTCTGCTTTTAAGACCTTAGTCACTATTTACAAAGTAGAATGTAGAGGGGGTTTCAAAAAGCTTGTGGAAAACTTCCATTTTATTTTAATTCCATTTTTTCCCCATGAACTTTTTGAAGCCCCCTTATAGAACACTGTCTTTGTGGACTATGTGATACCAGTTGAATTTAGTATCTCCCAGACTATGGTCCTAAACTCCCAAGCAAGGATTATATTTCTTGAAGTGGAACAACAGCAAAAAAAGAAATGGGGCTATGTGTGATCTTCTGATTCATGATCAAAGTTCGTAGATGATTAAATGTGAGGCTAACTTTTTCAACATAATTTGTAAAATATTCCTTAAATAACTTGATTTTTCTACTTATCAGAGGTGGCCAATCAAATTTTATAATCCCTAATTCTCCCACCAAGGAGCTCTGGTAGCGTAGTGGTTACGACTTGGGCTGTGAACCGCAAGGTCAGCGGTTCGAAACTACCAGCTGCTCCGCGGGAGAAAGATGAGGCTTTCTACTCCCGTAAAGATTTACACCCTCGGAAACCCTGTGCAGGGTCGCTATGAATCGGTTCCGACTCCACGGCACTTAACAACAACAACAACAACAATTCTCCCACCAGTGGGGTAGTATTTCTTTAGTTTTCTTTGTGCTTGATTTTAGAGACTCGACTGACAATGTTTTGAATTTTTAAATATTATTCTTAGTCATAATGTTTCAAAGATATTTGTGTGGAATAATAAGATTTATAACATTTAAATTCATGCTACATAAGCTTTGCATATTTTCAATACTAGTGAAACAAGGCAAGACTACATATTTGATATATGACAAATAAGCATTTTTAGGGGTAGCATATAATTGCAGATAGTAACAAAATGCAGAAATAAAGAAAATTTATATAGAGAATAAGATACTTAACACAGTTAACATACTAAAACTCTTGCTGTAGATAATTTATGATCAATTTAATTGACATTAATTTTCTAAATTTCTATAACATTTTACTTATGTGGTTTTCTAAAGAATTGAAGTTATATAATTTGACCCTACACCTACCACTGACTTAACTGCAGCAAATGTCTAGACAGTGTTATAATGTAGTGCTAACTGAATTTCTCATTATCCTACCAAATTACCAAATAGAAATTAATATTTAGTACATTACCTGATTAATATCAGCACCCAAAAGTTTTGTATGAAGAATGGAGAAGATAATTCACTTAGTTATAAACACAAAGACTAGTTATTAAAAATAAAAGTGTTAGGTTTGCTCTGATAGAGGTTTAGAGGAGAAAAGTTGACTTAATAAATTTGGAATGCTGAAACAACCCAGAGAGAATATTTTTTCCCTTTAAACCTTATTTCTTTGGACAAGAAAATCCTTTTTGGAAATCATTTCTAGTTCTGTTTACATTGCATGTAAAAAATAAAAGGTCATTTATTTCTTGTCATTTCTTGTGATAGAAAAATTGTTGACATTTTTCATTAGTTGAATAAACTCTCCTTTTTTAGAAACCAAGGAATCTAAAAGATAAAACAAAGTAAGCAGCACTTTATTTCTTTTCACATGTTCTGCATGATAACTTTTATTCATTCAGAAATATCTAATCGAGGAATAAGTCAATAAAAGATTTCATAAAATCAAACAAAAACCTTTCTGGATAAATGATTATACAAATATCTCCTTTACTATGAATATAAATAAGGAGCTCTGGTAGTGTAGTGGTTACAAATCAGGTTGCTAATCTCACGGTCGGCAGTTTGAAACTACTAGCTGTTCCACGGGAGAAACATGAGGCTTTCTGCTTCCGTAAACTTTTACACCCTCGGAAACCCTGTACAGGGTCTCTATGAGTCAGAACCGACTCCATGGCACATAACAACTACAACAACAACATGAATATAAATACAATACGTTGTTGTTGTTGTTAAGTGCCATCGAGTCGGTTCCGACCCATAGCGACCATGTACAGGGTTTCCGAGGGTGTAAATCTTTACAGCAGTAGAAAGCCTCACTTTTCTCCCGCGGAGCGGCTGTTAGTTTAGAACCGCTGACCTTAAGGTTCGCAGCCCGATTCGTAACCACTATGCTACCAATACAATATATGCAGTGCTTATTGAACATCACAATTAAAGTCATGAGCCCTCGACATCTGTTGTTGTTGTCAAGTTCTGACTAGTTGATTTCAACTCATAGCCATCCTGTATAAGGTTTTGTTTTGGGGGTTTTTTGCTGTAAAAGGAAGCTTTATTGTTTTCATTTGGTCCACCGCTTGGGCGAAGAGGGGCTCCAGGGCATTGACTCTGCTGCCTCTGTGTCTAGAGAGCAAAGTTCAGGTAGAAGGCCCTTCACAGGTTGCGGGGTTCCATGGGCTCTTCCGAGTCGTGCTTGAGAGTGAGCCTCTCGCAGAGGTATTCGCCCAGCCCTGCCTGAGACTGGCCATCCTACGGAGGTTGGTCAAGTGGTCGCCCATCTTCTTGATAATTTTCACCTCCTCGTTGAGGAAATGATTCTCCAGAAAGTCACAGAGGTGGGGGTCTGTGTGGGTAGCACCCACAGCGTGCAGATCCAGAAGAGACTGGTTCAGGTTCTCCTCCAGGACCAGGGAGGCTTCCATGGCGTCCAGGGTTCTTCCCCACTCATCTTGGGAGGGATTCTGCACGCCCTGGAAGAGTGCACGACCACCACGCTGGTTTTGCAGTTTCAAGAGACGCTCAGCACCCTCACGCTTTTCCTTCGCCAACTCACGGAAGAAGAGTCCCACACCTTCCAAGGCCACATCATCACGATAGAAATAGAAGCCCAAAGAAAGGTAGGTGTAAGAGGCCCGCAGATGCAGATTAACCAGATGGTTGACACCGGCCTCGGCTTCAGCGGAATAATTCTGACGGATCCGGGTAACAGGTAATGCTCAAGAAGATGGTCCCAGAGAAGAGATTGTGCCCAAAGAAGTTGTTAGAGGTGGTCTCAGGCTGGAGGTAAGGGAGTGCCCGGATCTGTTCCCAAACACTGTTGAAGCAAGACACAGATCCACGGGATCGCAGGGCAAACTTGACCTGTATAAGGTTTTGAAGGAGCAAATGGTGAGCTTGAACCACTGACCTTGCAGTTCAGACCAACCTTGCAGCACATTAACCCACAGCACCACACCAGCAATATATGTATACTGTCTATTGAGCATCACAATTAAAATTATGAGCCCTAGACATTACAAGAGTAAAAACCAAGCATGATTTCAGGTTCAGGGTGCGGATCACTGGGGAACTCACAAAGGAGTCTTAAAACAGAAGTGCACTGAGTATATATGGAGTCATTCTAATTGAATGAAAATTAACACTCTTCATATATTCATTCAATCCTTCAACCCACCAACCAATATGTTTGAACATCTATAAAATGCCAAAAGTAATACAAGGTGTAAAGAAAACACTCATCTATAAGACATAGTATTGTCTGTCTATATGCTAAGAGTCTAACTGGTCTCAGTATGGTTACAGGCTCTAAAAATGAAAAATAGGTTGGGAAGGTGGGGCTCAATTCTCTGGACTTGACTTCACTCTCACAAATGGAAGTGTTTGCTAAGAGGATAAAGAGGGTAGCCCTGCTAAGTAGATGAAGCATTTGAACACTGACACCACACCTAAATGTGAAACTGGAGAGCTGCTCGAGGGTGCGGATCACGGGGGAACTCTCTAAGCCAAGAGAGTCACAAAGGAGTCTTACAACAGAAGTGCACTGAGTATATATGGAGTCATTGGATTTCAGTTTCTTTGTCAACTCTACAGTATAATTTCTGTGATCCATCTCCAAATGACTCAAAAGCAGAATTCCTGCTCTCAGTGAGTACATCCTGGTTGGTGTATGCTGAACAAAATTTAATACATAAAATAACTACATGAAAAATAGGAAAAAGTAAACATTGATAAGTCATTTGAAAATAAAACAGGGTGGTGAAACACAGATTTAGGATTGCCTAAAATGATACTTTAGAGGTGCAGTTGGAGATGGACTCTCTGAAAAGGTGCAATTTTAGAGTGAGATAAAACTGATTAAAAGGAACCAGAAATGTTTTTGAATTGAATCACTTCACTTATGTTAATAATAATAACACTTTTATCAAAAACGATGTAATTAGATTAACCCTGACGGTATAAAAACCAACCCTTCATTGAAAGGACTGACCATTCTTTTTAGTGCTGGTGCATTTCATCAATACAGTGTCAGTTGAGGTCACTGAGCAGTGCTTGTTGAAGGATGTCAAAAAATGCTTTAAGAAGAAAGGATTCAGTCTAATGGCCATGGCATTTTTGTCAGACTCATGAGAAACACAAGAATCAATTCTACCTTGAAATGACACACCAGCCACTCTTCCCAGCACATCTCCAGGAGTCATGGAAGCTAGCACTAGGAATCCTCCAGACCTTGTCCTGAATCTTGTCTATATCCTTTCTGGTTATAATAAATCAGAATGGTATTCTCTCTGAATTCTATGAGTTGTTCCAGAGAATTATTTAGCCAACAGGGCCAGTGAGACCAAGCGAGGACTGGCATTGTTTATTTGGCAGTCTGAAGGACTGTCACTGTAACTTGTATGATCTGACCTGCTCCTGTAGGGCGAGAAATGAAAGAAAGAATGGGTAGCTGGTTTAAAGTAGAAGGACTCATTTATGTTCATGAGTTTTTGATCTATACACCATGATGCATCCTAGATGGTTGGAAATAAGCGACAGTGTTCCTTGGAGCAGCAGGTGACAAAGACTGGAAAAGTCGAAAGGTGATGCCTAGATCTATTTCCAAGTGGGAACTGGATTCATTTTAATCTTCACCACACAATTAACAATGGAAGTGGGATTTGCCCACCTTGCTCCTTGCTTAGGGCCAAGCCTCATATCAATGAATTTACCCCAGACTTGTGAGGAGCATTATAATCAAGACTACATTTACTTGAGCAGTTGCCATTCTTCATGGAGCTAGTAAAGTAGGTGAATTTAGGGCTGCTATGACAATGGCTTGGAGTCCTGGTGTGGCACTATGGGTTAGTGCACTGGATTGTAAGGTCAGTTTGAACCTCAAGGTAGGCAGCTCAAGCTCACCAGCCACTCCTTGGAAACCCTATAAGGCTCGCTATGGGTCGGAACCGACTCAGCAGCACTTAACAACAACAACAACATGACAATTGTTCAGCAGCTGTTAGGGGCATTCAATGGGGTTAAAAGATATTGAGACACTTTGAGAAGAAAAGAACTGGCTTCATGGGATAATATTTATTTAGACAAAAGCAGAATCCTTATAACAGTAGCATACAATGTCCTGACAGACCAGCCATTGTTCCTAGGCCTAGTGATTTCAATTAACTAAAAGTGGATTGAAGCCAAGTTGCAAAGAAGCACAGGATAGAAAATGCAAGCATAGTGATTCTGGGGAAAACAATACAATCATAACCAATGAAAAAAGGATATTAATTTGGACATGTATTCAAATCATATATCACATGCTTAAAAATGACTGCAATGGGCTTTGAGTAGGGTAACAAGCGATGCTAAAGAAATAATTGTATTTCAAGAAGGGCACCATATTTTTCTCTATGCAGGAATGGACTTCTGGGCATGTACTGGCATTCTACATCACATGCTAGAAAACAAAAGCAACCAGTTCTAAGTGAGGTTAAAAAAAAGTGGGGGGCAAGTAATTGTGGTGGAAATCAATCCAATGGATTGTAAGCCCAGTAATGTTAGTTCCATTAATCTGAGGGACATGGAATAAAGACAAGAAGGCAAGTTCATCAAGCACTTTGAGAAAAGGAGAATAAGCATCTCCAGCATGACAGTCTATCAGTTCTCAGAGGACCATAGACAACAATACAATGTCATAACAGGTCAATCTTTATTGCCGGGTCTAATGAAGCTTCAAGGTCCAGGAGAATGAAGGGAACAACAGTGGGGAACAACTGAGGCAATAATACATAAAACTAATAGACCAAGCATGTTTTCCAGGCCAGGTTGCTGGGTTAACATGGTTTTAACACTGCTAACAAGAATGGAAACAATGGATTTTAAGCAAGGAAACGTAATGCCATGCAGGGGTTTGTCTTTGACACTCAGGACAAGTCATCAAGAAATGTAAGAAAAGCATTATTAAATTCATAGTCTTAAGATTTTTTCAAACTAGAGAAGACTCCTGTGTTCATATTCTAAGGAATATAATGGACAATGACACCCTGTGAACTTTAGTGGTTGGTAAACTGAGCACTAATGGCAGGATGATAGCCCCCGGATTCCCCGGATTGCCTCTTCCAGCATGGAACCTTCTCTCAACCAGCCAGCTGTTTCCATGCACTATGCTGCATCCCATTTCAGGAGCTGATAAACTCAGATGTGGTGGAAAGCTTGAAAGCATTCTCAAATCACAAAAAGACCCATCAGCAAGGAGTTGTTATCGTTGTTGTTAAGTGCCATCAAGTCAGTTCCAACCCACAGCAAACCTGCATAGGGTTTCTGAGGAACAACTGGTGAGCTTGAATAGCCAACCTTATGGTTCAAACCAATTTTGAAGTCCAGTACATTAGCCTGCAGTGCCACACCAAAACGCCATTAGCAAGTGGAAGAAGTGTTAATTGTTCAAGAAGCTTAAGCAAAACTTCTGGCCAATCATTAGCTGAACAGCAAGTTATTCTGACCTAGGGATAACTACTAGTAAGCGAGGCTTAAAAATAAAATTACAAGTGTGTTTGTTAGTCAAAAAGACTGCAGTGGAGATAGATTTCTCAGAATTAGCTCAGACAAATCACTAAATAAACAACAAAGTCAAGAAGAAGACCAGAAGGAGGATCATCATCCAGAATTGTTCCAGGATATCATCTAAAATGTCTAATCTCAACAACAAAAAAGAGACAAGGAACAATGTGACACATTATTATCATAACAAAAGACAAGAAACAGAGACTTCCTTTGAGAAGACTCAAATGTAGGGCTAGCAGGTAAAAATATGAAAACAGTTATTAAAAACATATTCAAAGAACCAAAGGAAAACATATTTAATGATTTTTTAAAAATTAACAATGTGGCTCAATATTGGGAAAAATATGTGGCAGGGTTGTATATTTTCACCTTAGATATTCAATCTGTATACTGAATAAATACTACAAGAAGCTAGATTATATGAAGAACATAGCATCAGTATTGGAGGGATTCGTTAAACAACCTGTAATATACAGATAACACAACAAAGATTGCCAGAAATCAGGACAACTTGAAACACTTATTGATGCAGACCAAAGACTACATCCTTGAGTATGGACTACCTGAACATAAGAGAGAAAAATCCTCACAACTGGCCTAATGACAATATTGTGATATATGAAGGTATTGAAGTAGTCAGTGATTCCATTCTATTGGATCAAAAAGTAGACTTCTCCATGGAATCAGCAGTCAAGAAATACAATGATCAAGGGAGAAGAGCGGAGTGCGAGACCCTACCCCAAGAAATAGTGACACCAGAGATGTAGGCAGAGACGATGACATGGAGAGATGGAGCAGCTGGGGACTCTAGACCCAGAGAGGGAGAGGGGCTGTGTCCTGATGACCAGGGGGCAAGCTTGCAGGGTATACCCTTTGGTTGGTTGATGATACATGGAGGGGATTATAACCATTGCAATGTAATGATATACGATAGGGTGAATGTAAAGCTAATCTTCTCCCATGTAAATGATCACATAATTCACAATAAAACATTTTAAAAAAGAAAAGGGAAAAAAAGAAATACAATGATATATTGCATTGGGAATACCTACTGCAAAAGAGCTCCTTGCAGTTACAAAACAAATAGGTCACTTTGATGATAAAGGTCCACGGTAGGTATTTTCTATCTCCTCATATGCAAGAAAAAGCTAGACAATGAAAAAGAAAGACAAAAGAAGGATTTACACATTTGAATTGCAGTGTTGGTGAAGAATATTGCATATGCCATGAATGCCTGACAAACAAATTAATCAACCTTAGAAGAAGCACAACCAAAATGTTCCTTACAAATAAGGATGGTGAAACATCAGCTCACTTACTTTTGACTCATCATTAGGAAAGCCCAATCACTAGAAAAAGGCATCATATTTGCAAAGTAGAAAGTCAATGAAAGTTAGAGGAAATCTCAGTGAGATGGATTGACACAATAGCTACAACAATGAACTCATACAAAACAATGGTCATGAAGACAGAGCAGGTGTAGGCAGCGTTTCACTCTGTTATCTGTAAGGCCACCATAAGTGGAAACAGATTTGATGGCAATTAACAACACTAACATCAATGATAACAATGACTGATTAAATAGAGAAGATTAAAAAAAAAAAACACATGGAGAAAGGAAGACACAAAATGGCATTCTGGTGTCACATTCTGCCTAATCCTGCTATAAAAGAGACCACAAAATTTGAGTGAAACAGATACAGAAGTTAATCTTGAAACTACCAGTGGTTCCGCAGGAAAAACATGAGGCTTTCTGCTCCCGTAAAAATTTATAGCCTCGGAAACCCTGTGCAGGGTCACAATGAGTTGGAACTGACTCCACGGGACTTAACAACAACATATATATATATTTTAATTTCTCATCAGGTAGTTTCATTACCTGCTCTTCAATATATGTATATATGAGTTGGAATTGCTTCGAAAGCACTTAAAAATAGCAGATAGATAGATAGATAGATAGATAGATAATCCTTCCACTATCTCAAGGAAACTGTATGTAAAGTCATGCAAACCCCATACAATATTCTAGAAGAACTCAGAAAAACAATACAAAAGTGAAATGACAAAATAAATAGACAATCAGAAAACATACAAAACCCAGATCACTACCATCAAGTTGATTCCAAC